AACGTTTACGAATTAGTTAAACTGCGTGTTCGTTCCCGGCAATTATCATATTAAGATTATTGATAATTTGAGGACATTATAATCGTCTCAAGAGGGAAGCGTCTCGTAATCGTTTCATAAAGATTACGAGCATATATATAAACTTTATAATGTTTCCATGTAAATAACACAGCAAAATACATATATAAACAGGTACGAAGAATATAGCGGGAGCCAGCCTACGAAAAAAACACTCTACATATATCGCCCCCTTGCAAAATAAGGCATCAGTTGGAATGGTTCGAGAAGGTGGACCAATCGAAACTATTTTCAATAGCTTTAGACCAAAAGACGTCAGTATATAAGAATGCCGTCAAAACGGTTTTGAAAATTACAACCTAGCACTTGAACACAAGACAAAAAGACTGACAGACAAGCTTAAATCGATTCGTATGACAATTTTGAATCGAGCGCTGTAATAAAAGGTGGGTGGGTTGCGGCACACATCCGCAAAAACTTCAAATCCTCTTGTATCACCAGCGGTGTAGGGTACAAAGCGAAAAATCACTGCAGCTTTATAAGCAGAGTCGAATTCATGGACTATCTCTTCGTCTTCGAGCAGTTTTTACCTAAATACTTTAAATCAAAACGACTAAGATGGAACGATCGTCAGTCCCAAGCTCTTTAGCGTGCGAGATTGTAAACTACACCGTTGACCATATGAGGCGTATCTTTAGCTCAATGACTTTCATATTCGATTAAGCCCAGTACAACTGATAGTGTGAAAAGAGAATTCTGTTCGCAAAAAATGCAATCTGTGCAAACTTGACCATTTGGTTTTTTCATGTATGACATTAGATCAGTTGCTGATATAACGATGGTATTATTAATGGCATTGCATCGAATTCTTTTGCACCGTGAAAACGTTGACTGCAGAACTTTTTAGCTGGATAAACGAAACGATTCCTGTTAGCTAGTAAACGCATTTGAAAAATTTTCTTTAAGTGAGACCTTGATATGGTCGGTATTCCGTTCGTGTGGTAAATAGGTGTTAGCGATTTATTTGAAATGTGATTATTTGCGTATGTCTTGTAATTTTAATTGACTGTAAGGAAAATTCGTGACAAGAAAGAACGCAATCTATTCTTTTTCAGATATTTTGAATTGTAACGATTTCTTATGCAAACTATTTCTTAGAGAAATTATTGGGCCACAGTGTGCATTAACGAAATGATTATTAAGCCGTAAGAGCATCAATAGCTGTTAGGTAAAGAGGAAACGCATCATACAAATGACAAGTACCAGCTAAACAGAGCGACAGACGAATTTTTATATAAAGCAACAATACACAAACACTCGCGTGCGCATATATATATATATATATATATATATATATGTATATATGAAAAAGTGTATTCAAACACATAGGTATAAAGAGATGTAGAGAGAATGTAAGAGAGAAAGAGATGGCGATAAAAAGAGAAGAAAAGGGAGATGGAGAGGGAGGGAGAGAGAGAGAGAGAGAGAGAGAGAGAGAGAGTAAAGCAATAAAATAAGATACATTCACGCATTTACTTCAAGATGCTCTATTAGATTTCTTTCATTCATTCATAACAATACAAATACATCGTGAATGCAACTTCAATGAAGTAACACAAAACTTGCATGTGAGAAACATACACTTGCTTAAATAGATGTAAATACCTATGAACATTATATGTGTACAATATATCTTCTTATATATATATATATATATATATATATATAAGGAAAGGAAAAAAAAACTGAGTGTTTGTACGAGCTCTATCCAATGAGAGTTAAATGAAGAGAGTATTTGTGTAAGAGCATAAAGATAAACATAGATAAACACACATACACTTGAACGATACACCTTTCATTGTGGTGTTAGTGCATTTCTTTAATACTGTATAGGTTTTCATTCAAGTTTTCTGTGTAGAATACAAAACCTCAACAATACAATAATAATAATTAATACACAAATATTGCATATATATATATATATATATATATATATATATATATATGTATAAATGCATGAGTCTTGATTTACTTGTTTAGACAGTTGTTGTTATGGTTGTTGTTATTGTATTTTAATGTCGATTTTGTGTAAAAATTTCAATACAATCCAGTAGACGCGATCAGTTTGAAAAGTTAGGTCGCAAGTGATGGTCGTCGTCGTTTATAAGCTGTTTAGTAAACATATAAAAAAAAATTCAAAAACAAAAAAAACGCAGAACGTGTTCTTTACAAAAATAAAAGAAAATAAAACCAAAAAAACAAACAAAAATTAAATTAAATATACAAGTAAATAAATAATTATATAGAAAATCTTTTAAGTATAAACATAACTAGCAAGACGTGGTTTAAACGAAACGCACACAACATAAATGTTTACATAGGTAGTACTTTTTTTTTTTTGTTTTTTTTTTGTTTGTTTGTTTTTTTTTTTTTTTTTTTTTTTTTTTTTTTTTTTTTTTTTTTTTTTGCTAAACAAACACCACCACCGACTTTAATATATATATATATATATATATATATATATATACCTTATCATAAACAGCAGTAAACTAAAAGGCTACAAACAGCCTCGAATTGTATAAACAAAATGTCTAAACATTAGTTGTTGTTTTTACTTGTTTTACAATCAACGAATTGAAATGAATGAAACAAGAGATATAACAACAAATTTATGAATGAATTTGATATTTAAGGCGTACAGAAAGCAATAACTAATACTATAACAACAACAAAAAACAAGGCAATAACAACCAACCATCACATAACACAACGATCGACATCGACTTGATCTGAACAACAAAACAAGTTGTTGTATATAACGATTTTTTTTATTTTTTTTTTGCTTTTTTATTTTGTATCGATTGAATACCAAAAGCGTGCTTGTGATTGTGAATAACAATAATAATAATAATAATAATAATAATAACAACAACAACTACAACAATAACAATCACATCAACAAAACTTGGTTGTAGTGAAAATATTAATAAACTTAAAAATTGCTTTAAAAAAAAGTTTTTTTTTTTTTATATTTTGTTATTTATTTATTTATTTGTTTTTTTTTTTTTTTAAGTTTGCCTAGAAACGTGTTTTTTAACTATTTTCAGCAATTTTGAAACTAAAAAAAAAAGTTTACGATATTAAATTCATGTAATAGTGTAAGTAACGAATATTTACACCACCGAAACAAATCAATAGAAGAAAAGTCAGAATTGCGACTTGAAAAGGAATAAAGCAAAAAAATAATAATAATAATAATGTCTTTTAAATGTTATTATATAAAAAAATATATGAATATTTTCAGAATTATTGTCATGTATATATATAAAACAATTAAATAATCAACTTGCAATTAATAAATAAAGACATGATTCTCTATCATATAAAGGCAAAATTTTATCTTTAATAATATGATAAAAAAAAGAAAAAGAAAAGGGAAGAAATGATTCAATTTTGAGAATAAAATAAAATTAGAGAAACAGAAACAGAAAATACTTATACAGTGCAATTTTGCGAATAAATGAAAGGCAAAACAAGTAAGAATGAAATGTTCCCTCCTCGCTCCCATTTCTCCTTTCGTTAGTTAATTATATGCCCTTGATGAAGTATGAGGTAAAGTGAAAGCCCAAAAGCCTTCATACATAGCTATTTTGTGGATTATGAAAAATCCAGCTTAATATCAATAAGAAACATTGATGAAGAACCCAAGCCTAAGTTAATAAACAAGGATTCGATTTTTTGCTAAAAACCTAAGCTTAACCTTCTCATAATCACATAAATCTAATAGGTGTAGTGACAAATGAAAATAAACCATTTGACCGAAATGCTTGTAATCAGCCAACATATGAAGAATATACGACCTGCTACCATGCTATGAACACACTAACCTGCTACTCTTGGCAAGTTAAACATAAATTTGCTGTTTGACTAGAACTCGCATGAAACCTTAATCTCTACATTTAAAGCTTTCAAATCTTATTAAATCCACACATCTTACCCGTACCACTCATATGCATGCATTGCTGAGAGGAGACCTAAATATCTGTTAGGAAAATCATTTTATTAAACGGTCAATGGGAATAATTTTTTTTTTCTTTGTTTGAATATCTGAACGGGACGATTTGCGAGGTAGCTTCTCTGAAACATTTTCGTAACAACTTATTATTGGTCCGCATTTTGTATTTCTAGCTTTTTTTGACATTCATAAAAGTCATATAAAAGAAGTTCTTAGTATGTGCCCCTATATATATATATATATATATATATATATATTATAGATTAATGATGCGGCAGTGTTGGCGTGATTTAAAATCCATGCAAAAGAAGAAAAAACATATCGTACTTATAATCGATTTATAGCGATATAGTAGATTTTTGATCTTTTATTCGCAACTGGTCTAGAAACGTTTCCATATAATTAACCGCATCGGTCCGATTGTCTTTCGATGAAGCTTTTATGATCGCAATAATCTCTAAACCCATATGATATAAGCATATATTTTCCCAATGGATGTACATGGGATCGAAACCGGTTTAAATACGCAATTGATACGATAAAAAGCTGTGAGAGACTTAAAACGATTTGTAACCAAAATTTGAATAAATATTAACAGATATATCTAAATATATATATATATATATATATATATATATTGTTTAAAGAATTGATATCGGAGAGATATCGTTTAAAGAATTGGATCAAATGCTTAGCCACTATCTAAGGGAACAGTACAGATGGAGGAAAATGTTTGTTGCCGTTATAAAGATGATGATGGGTGTATCTATGACATACCTAAAAGAAAGCATAATTTTTTTGGGATTTTTTTGTTTGGTTTTAAATATACAAAAGTCTTTTTTCTTATTTTTAGCAAATATTTAAGATAAAAATTTAAAATAACAACAAAAAAGTTTGTAGTGCAGTTTAGCAGTTTTTAAAAAAAAAAAAAAAAAAAAAAAAAAAAAAAAAAAAGAATTAATAAACACAACAACAACAGCAACAACAGCCGACCAATAATCAAATAGTAAATTACGCACTTCATTGAAACTAACAAAACGCAATTGAAAAAAAAAAACAAATAAATAAATATATAAAAATAAACATTAAAAAGTAATTGCGGATGATCTACAATACTAGCAGCAACGAAAACAACGTTGTTAACATTAACAGCAGCTTTAGTACAGCAATTACAACATTTAGCTTATAACCGAAGGAGAAAGAAAGAAAGAAAGGGAGAAAGAAAGAAAGGGAGAAAGAAAGAAAAGGAAGAAGAAAAAGAAGCAAAACCACACATAATGCTAGCATTCACTTTATTTATGCTTGTAAGTCATATTTTACTAAATGTGACTTATAGCACGCGTCTACCATTGGAAGTTTACGAACTGACACCTTCTGGTATCGCCGGTGTCACTGAATTAAAACATAAGAATTTAGAATATTCAACCGTCGACGGTGATACTTTGCGATCGTCAACAGCGATACATGTCCAACATTTGGCCACTAAAGGACCGCAAAATACATCGTCGCAAAAGCATATAAGTCACAGCAATAAAGATGAGACCAAAGATTCCCTTATACAACAATTGCAATTGGATCGTAGGAGATCAAGACAAATGTTAGATATTATGAAACAGCAACAACATCATGTTGAAGCATCCTCCCAGCATAAGTTACATACAAATTTACATCATTTAAAGGATGTACGCATATTATATCAAGTCGGTGTAAGTAATGAAAACTTTTATTTTCCTCTCTTCTATATATTAAATAACATAATTCATGGAACATGACAAACGCTTGCCTAGAAAAACGATTATTTAATAGAATGAACGAAATCACTTTGACCCTTTTGATCTTTTGTTATGGCAATTTCGTAGCCGTATATTATGTGTGCTGAACTGTGCAATATTTAATTTTTTATTTTTTTAATTGTTACTCATATTTTATTGCAGAGAAGAATATTAAATATATATATATATATATATGTATACAGTGGGTGAACGCGGCAAAATTTTTAATAAAATTTTATTCAAAATGTAAGATTTTATTACAAAATAAATTTTTTCGTTTTTTAATTTCAAGTTAGATTTTCAAATATATTAAAATGATTATTATTATTATAATTAGTATTTATTTAGTTTTTTTTTTTTTTTTTTTTTTGTAATGCATAAAACAACAAAAGAAAGAAAGAAGAGAAAATATTATTTTTCTAATTAATGAAAATAAGCATTTTTCAAGTGTTTTAATTATATACAAAATAATTTATTGCACGCCTGCAGATTAAATGCAGCAAAACTTACAATTATTGAAAACTATATGGAAAAGAAAAATTTATAAAAATCTGTTTAATGTTCTTATGGAAAATGAAAAAGCATTCATAGTAAATTCACATTTGAAAGGAAAATATCTTTAATTGTATTTATCAATTGTACCGCAAACTCGCCCGGAATGCATTCTTATTAGAAATGTGCTTAGAAATATTTTTTGTTGGGAAATTCATTTTAATTAATGAACAAAAATGCGTTCACTGCATATAACTAAAGAGTATGGAAATGTTTTTTTTTTTTTTTTTTTTTTTTTTTTTTTTTTTTTTTCTTGGATAGATATTTAAATTTCTTCTTTAGATATTTGCCAAAATTTGGTGAAATCGTTAACTTAAGAGCCGGTCTTATAGTTGCTTATACAAATGATTATTTGAAATAACAGAACACACAGTGTTTGCGGTTATAAATTAATTAAATTGGATTTTTATCTGTCTTGATGGTATGTATTTGAATAACAAACACAATAATTTATGTATGTAATTCTCTCTTTACATAGATTATAAATAAATATTTGCGTTTTTTTATTATCACAAACAAGATATATACATTTTACACCGTGCAAATGGTGCGATTTATTAAATAAATAAAGAAAATTTAAAAAACAAAAAAAAAAAAAAAAAAAAGAAAAAAAAAAGTAATTACTATAATGGCAAGCATTTGCTAGAAGGAGCTTTAACACCTTTAAATATTTTATCGGAAAAAAAAACATTACCTTTATATATAAAATGCATAAGTTTTGCTTTATAAGCACTTTTACATTAGAGTGGTGCAAAACTATACGCGTTGCTCATGCTCATTATTTCTCTTTTTTTTTCTTTTTTTTAACCCTTATTCGTACGACCCTTTAACCCTTATACAGCGACGGTAGGAAATAAGTGAGGAAATAGAAAACGCGTAATTGTGTGAGCCCAATAGTTAGTTAGTGTTTTCTCCTTTTCCCGGCTAAACCCGTGAACACATCCTTGGTACGATTACGATTCTTACCAACTCGCAGATTCAAGGCGACTTGCTAATGACAATAATGAAATAAATGTAAGATTAAAATCACTTTTCCGTCAACTCAAAAATTCATCTCTTATTATCCATCCATTTTCTCCGTCGCTTTCTTCTTTAGATTTGATATGAAATTCTCGATATCTTTAATTTTATTCTTCTAATGTTTTTTAATTTTATGCTTTTAATTCAAATTCATAAATTAATTGTTGGCCCGTTGGCTCTCTCCGTTTCTTGTCACAATTTCATAGAGGTAAAGAGGCCGCTCGATCGCACAACTTTGTCATTGCTTTCAATCACAATCTTTAACGCCTAACCAGATTTTGATCATTTTCAAGAGCATTTGTCAAAAACTTCAAACGGACAGATGGACATTTTCACGTGAATACAGATATAAGCATAATAGATAAGTTTGATGTTAAAAGAAAAACATTAGAGAGATTGGAATTTGTATGCGGAATTTTTGAGATGATTGTTAAACAAATGTGCTTTAACTGCTCGCCGGTACGAGGAAAAGTCGAATACAAGGCAAATATACTCTAAATTAATATCAGGATTTAGCAAAGTTATTACGAAAATTGTTAAATAATGACTTTAAGATTTTTCACGCTCTCCAATACCGTTAGATGAATGCATGCATGCATGCGTGTATATATGCATTCTACGTACCTAAATTGCTTGCGAAAGTCAACAGGTTAATAGGAGCTGAGAGAAGCTAATGTGTCTCGCATAGAAATACTTTCAGTAAAAACTTATTCTGAAGAAACTTCGAACCGTGTTAATTGATGGTATGTGCGGTTTCTTTATGGTTAAGAGTCTTGTTGTTGTTGTTGTTGTTGTTTTTTTTTTTTTTTTGCGTAGGTAGCACAAAAAATACTATAAAGCTTTGCATGCATTTTTGCACTAAATATATTTTATGCATATTACGATCATATACACGTAAAATTATGCTCTAAGTTCACCAATCGATTGGATACTTTCGGTTTATATGTTCGAAATAGAGAACAAAATTTCGTCGATGAGTCTTACAGGCGAAAGGAAGGAACAAAAAAAAAATATACTTATATTTAGGTTTGAAGCGGACGACGTGCAAGCAGTCTTGGGCTTTCTTTCTTTTTTTTTTTGTTTTTTTTTGCTTTCGCTTTTCAGCTTAAATAATGCAAGCTCATAATGTAATAGGACAAAAGTTATACCGTTTTAAAAGTTAAGCACTTTTCAAGTGTGATTATGACTTAATTTTATGCTTTGTCGAAGACGATAAAATATAAAATATAAAGGTTTTTTTCGAGGAAAATAGATGCATAATGCGTAATAGAGTGTTAAAATTGAGATTCCATTCCTTAATTATGCACACACGTATCTGTTAATGCACTACAATGGCTCTGCTGAGTTGAGTAATTCGACTAATAATTAGATGCAAGAAGAAAAAAAAAAAAAACACAATAGTTGCATTTATATTCAGAGAGAGAGAGAGAGAGAGAGAGAGAGGCAGAGAGATTATTATTTTCTTTTTGTTTATAAATTTCTTTATTATTATTATTATTAGTATTATATATATATTGTTGTTGTTATTTTCATTTCATTTCATTTATATTAAATTACTCTTTTCATTAACAAGATTATTTTTAGCTGATTCAATGACAAAAAGTTTTGTTGGCATTAAAAGCAGAGGTTAAATCATTTTTGAACAAAGTCTTCATATATATATATATGTTTTTACCCCCATTCTATTGTTATTTGTTTTCCGACTAAGCAGAGATCATTTTCTTTCCTATTATTAGTGTTTAATATAATTGATAGCCAAGTGCGAAGCCAATATATCTAATAATTTATTAATGTAATGTCAAGTATTGTAAACGTGTAAAGATCTTCTTATGTATGATATATTATTACGAAACTCCTTCTACGAGACAAAAGAATGGAAAAGAAACTTAATAGTTTGATGTAAGTAATTTTTAGTTGGACAAGATTGTGAAAATATACATTAGCGAGTGCTATCTATAGATGTCGGCATACAGTTATTTACGCAAAACTAATCACATCGTTGGATAAATTTATTTACAAATGTTTGAGCATTTGTTCAGAAAATTTGGAAAATTCTTTTTTATTATTATTTTTAATCACTTTAAAAGCCTTCTTTTTCACTATCGTTTCTCAATAGGTAAGACAGTAAATAAAAAAAACAAGAAAATTAATGAAAAAAGTGCAGTTACCAATGTCTTAATATAAAAACAGTAGATACCTAGCTTTGCATCTCTTAACACTTTACTTCTGTCTTTCAATTCAGTTTTCCTGCAAAGAATTCGCTTAAGCTTTTCCCATTTTTCAACATTCAACATTCATCCGGATGAGTTGCCGCCTAGATAAGAGTCGCGACTATCTAGTTAACGTTCGCGGGTGCATTAGTAGAGTTTACTTGGGTCGTAGTTAGTTAGTGAGTGTTATGCCTTTACCGGAAGAGGCGATTGGGTACGCACCGACACAGCCTGTGGCCACCATTTTCACTGTCGTTCTTCTTCATGGCTTCTTTCTAAACGTAATTGGTCATAGTGGCCTATTGGGCATATTAACAAACTTAAATACATACATCCATATACATCCACATACGTATATATATATATGCGTATACTCTTGTCAAATGTTTATAGGTACAATGCATTACTTTGAATATTAACTCAAAGTAAAAAAAATTTCTTAAATTTTCTGTTTCTGTAGTTAAATATAACTTAATTTATCCCTTATGCCAGAAGAAAGCACTCTATATATACTTCATAGAAAATAATTACATAGCCAACAATGAAAATCAATATTAAACCATAAGTATTATGTAACTAACATTGTATTGTGTTGCCCTTATAAATACGGCCATGCTGCGGACAGTCTGCTTGGCATAGAATCTAAAAAAAAATTTCTCAACATGGTCACATCAATCTTCCCCCATTCCGACACCATTTCAAGTTTAAGTTCTTGACTTTGAAAATATCTTGACGAAAAGTATTCCTCAGAGATTCTCAATCGGGTTGAGATTGGGACTTATGGATGGGTACTTGTGTTATTGAACAAAAAAACCTTTATAAGACGGGTATGGAAACGTTGTCTTGTCCATTTATCACTATATATCTATTGTGCTCTAACAAGCCAACACATGGCTTCGCGTTCATTGTGTTAAGTACAAGGCATATTTTTAACTTTCCTCCTGCTCCAAACGCAGTCTAAATAGCAAAGAGATACACCAGCATGGTTGCGCTTATAGCATCTTAGTCGAAGATATCGAACGTTGGCCCTTCAAGTTCAAGTCGGTTTAAATGAAAATTTTTACACGCTTCTAAATATAATATTTTGGAACACTTCCTACCAAAATTTGTATATGTCGAGCATTCCTATAGCGTTGATTTAAACGCGGTTTA